CAGGCATTGATAATTTTTACTATTAGGTAAATTCCTGATAACCCTTGATTGGATTGTAATGCTAACAGAAATTGTTATTAGTGATGGCTCAAGTGATCTTTTTCGTATGTTCCAGAAAGAAATGGGTTAAATTATAAGTTTAGTCAGTGAATTTTTAAGTTTGTGTCTAATAGGTTTCTTAACTTTAGAGTGTTTATTATATCATTAAACTTTTAATTTTGTGTCTTATAGGACTTTCGTATAATCTACACTTTTAAAATAAATTTTTTAATTTTATGCTGGATAAGTTGTTGAATTTTAAAAAATATCAGTTAGGTTAAGAATTTATTAAATATAAAATTTAAAGTTTAATAGAACTTATTAGATACAAACTTAAGAGTTGAAGGGTTAAACATGTAAATGTAAAGTAGTGGAAAATAGAGTTCACAAATGAAATAAATAAATAAAATAACAACGGTAATAAAAAATTTTCCATTTTTTTTTATTAGGTGAGATGGAGATTCAAACCTCCAATTTTTAGTCGAGAATATTAACATAGCTAGTTGAAATATACTCGTAGATGCGTTCAGTTCGGTTTTAACTTTAAACTATATGGAAAGTGAATTAGATGTTGGAAAAGTATATAATTATTTACATATAACAATTACTTTTTACATCTCTTCTAGGAAAAAAAAATTACTTTTTACAAGGACCAAAATAGTGACAAATGACTGACTGCGTAAGTTTCGATATCTTATTTTTATCCGACATTATATATCCAATTATTAATACGTCCCATCGACTTAATTATTTGGCATCTCAAATCTTAATATGAAAAAGGTGTTTTTTCAGTTAATAATTTGTATACACTAACAGTCTAACTCCACCAACAAAACAAGAGAATTTAATGATATTTTGTTTTCTTATACTTCAATAATTTATCCAACAAAAGTCAATAATGATTGAAACCCCTTTTCTTTAGGGTATTGCAATGAAACTATATTTATCTTCCCATCTTTACTGCCAAACTTTATATTTTAATTCACAAACTTTAAAAAAACAATCATTTAAATATTTCTGTTATTTTTGTATTAGATATCATCAGCATGTTTATACATTTGCTTGAAGTCTCGTTTTCAACTTCGAGAGAATAAAAATAGATGTCATTTACCATTAAACTATATTTATATTGACCACGCTATCCTTTATTAAAAACTAAATTAAGTTAAAAGGTATGGAATGTGGATTTTTTTTCCTCCTTATGAATCCATGGTTAGATTTAAAATTTAAACAACAAAACTAAATTTTTCTTCCCTATTACCAAGGTTTTAAATGTTTTTTTTTTTATCAAAGTCTCAATTTCATGGAAATAATAACAAAATATCAATGTCATAGATAGATAGTTCTGTCAAAATTGGAGAAATTAAAAAAATCGTAAAAATTATTTAAATTAATAAATCAACATTTCTCTATTTATAAATAGGTTAAAAATGATTGATATTAATATTATGTATATATTAGTGATATTTTGTTGATACTTTTTTATATTTTATCGAGTCTTTTGAACTATATTGAAAATGTCGATTTATCCCTTAGGCCAACACGAGACTTATAATATATTAAGATTTGAATATATGGATGGAAATGTGGATAGACTATTACACACGAGAGAGAGAAACTGTAAACCCTTTTTACACTGCAAATGACAGAGTCTGAGTCTGAGTCTGATAGAGAAAGAAGGAGGAGGAGGAGGAAAAGGGAGAGAAGAGTCAACCAACCATTTTTTGGAGGTTTTGTATCTGTTTTTTGCAAGGCTTCAAATACTCCACATCTCTCCTCTCTTTATCTTTCACTCCCCTTTTTCCCCAAATCTCTCCCTCAAATCCCCCCCTTTTCCCTCTCTCTCTCTCATCTAGGGTTTCAGTTTCTTCCTCCTCAAGCTTCCCCCATCGCCCAACCAT